AAAGAGGGGGGGGGGGGGGGGTCAAGTCAAGAATTTTCGCAGATAGCACTAATGCTATCTTGTGCAAGACGTCTCTGGCTGCCCGGTTTCTGATCTATATGAAAGAGGTTCCCTGTGATTCTGCCCCTGAGTCAACCGCCATCTGCGAGGTCTCGTTGGGCTGCTATTGTTAGCCGGGACAGTTTTGGTCACCGGCCTTTTCTCGTCCGTTGTGGCGGAAAAACAAGGTGGCGTGCCGTCTCTTTGTGCCGGACCGAAAGGAGATGCTCTCGGGATGCGCTAACGTGGAGGTTGTCGTCCCATTGCGTTTTTGGGGGGTTTGCATGAGGGCAAAACCATTGCGAAAAAACATTGCAGCGGCCTGCTGACAGGAAAGAGAACAAAGGCCAGCGGGGTTTTCAGTGGTTTTGGAAAAGGCTGACCACATAGCAGGGGTGCCATAATTAAGGCTGACTCCTGCGCTTGTTTGGTAGACTAATGTCTTATGACAATTTTGTGGGTCCTGAAGGCACGTCAGCGCTGGACTCTACTGCGCTACGGTAACCCACACGCAAACAGAAGAGGTTTCTTTGACGTGACAGACCAAAAAAACATTTTTAAAAAATTATCTGCCTTTATGGCGGTTTTAGGGCATTTGAGCTGATCTTTCAAGACCCACAAAATATCGTCTTCGGTGACAAAGTATAGACGTCCTTCTTCCGCCATCACCCATTGCTGCCATTCTTCTTCGCACAGACATACTGTGGGTAGCCTCAATTCCAAAGTCATGCACAGTGGCAGTCTGTTCAATCAAAAGATTTTGCTCCAGGTGAAAGCCAAACATGGAAGATGATCAAGTCTAACTTAAACATTTTCTAAAAACTGGACTACCTACTCCATCCACTAGCCAAGAGGATCTAATCACTTAAGGAAAACCAAGGCTGATAAACATGATAAGCTGTCCACTGTCGTGACCACTGTCCCTGAAAGGGTTAACGGAAAATACACAACTCGGTTGAGCGCCTACATCTGAAACGAGAATATATTAATTCAGTTTTTTTTTATATGGCTTTATAGTACACAGATGAACTCAGTGCCCCTTTGTGTTGAAAGCAATTCACCTAAAAGTCACAACAAGGGTGACTTTTAAGTGAATCGTGCGTTTGACTGTTTGTGCAGTTCAGAACAAAAAAAAAAAGCGGGTGACTCTGAAGGTTGTGATTGTGACTCCTTTTTGGGCTCGCGAGACAAAGTAAATCTCAAGAAGAAAAAGACCCAGCGAAGATAGAAAATTACATTGTTGCGTTGACTTCACCTCTCGATCAGGTGTCAATTCTAGGAAAACGGCGACACTGAAAAAAGGTTTCGAAATGTTTCTGTTCCCAGGCAGCAATGAAAGGGGCAATCCGTGACGAGCACACGCTGAGGTGTGACATCGCTTACTTTTGTCGTCAGCTTGCGTCGCTTGCTAAACCAACATTTGTCTTCCTTGAGGAATTTTCTGTTTCCTTTGTGGCTGGACACAAAAAAAAGCCATTGTCGACACCTCTAAGAGGTGACGTCTCCATTGACAGCGGTTGTGTGTCCTCGCGTCTTTCCATTTTTGGCGGCTCCGGTTAGCGGCGCAGGCGAGCACGTGTCGGGAAATTGTTGTATTATTAAACGGCAGGCTGCTGTCGTCCTCAAACAAGCTCCTTTCGGGATGTTTACGTAAGCAAAATCCTGACTCATCACGAACGGCCTTAATTCAGTGTTGGGTCTCTGGCAAATTTTCCACACACAAAAAAAAAAAAGAAAAAAAAATTCTTTCCACACACCATTTTTCAGATTTCCTGAATTTTCCAAGTGATCAATGGAATACTAAATCAGATTAATTGATTCGAAAAGGATTTGTTTGTGAAAGCTCTAATATACAGCTTCATAAAATTTGGGTGGTTGAGTGCACCAAAGCTCCAAAGCAATGAATCACAAGAACGTGCACGCGCATCTTTTACATAACCTGCCTCATCCCATTTTGTCCCAGCTTGCCATGGCACGGCTAATTCATACAGGCAGCAAGAATTAGCTCCCCCATTGTCACGCACACTCTCAAACACACACGTTCAGGATTATTTAAATGCATGTCATTCAGTTTGGTAACATCGCTATCACCCCACGGTCACGCATCCCAAAGAGACAGCAACCACTCGCCAATCACATTCGGCAAATACACCAAGACAAAAAAACAAAACAAAATCTAATAAAAGCTCAACTAAAATGAAGCATGAAAAAACAATAGCTACTAAGCTAACAAACCCCCTCCGAAAACTATAAAATCCTAACCCTGCCACTCTCAGAAATGTCAAAACCGACAGTGACGCTAACTCCAATGCTAACGGTGAACTGCGTGTCTGATGTCGTTTTTGTTTGACAGTTTGAATCTTCTTCGTTGATTGGGAGCCACCAGAAGTCGACTTCTACTCTCAGAGATGCTAACTACAGTCGGAACTATTATTCAAATTTGAAACCGTTATGCTCGCCGTTTCAGCGGTAAGAAATTTCAACCCGACTTCTGCCGCTTGCGACCTCTTTCTTTGTTTGCGCAACACACACCAGACCAGATAGACGCCAAAATGCAACGACTCTCAGAGACAACTACGCGAGTGACAGTAATTCAAGTTTTAAACCGTAAACTCGCAACTTCAACCATTTGCGTCTTCTTTGTCTTCGCTGTTGGAGAATCTAGAAACTGATTTTGTCAATTTATCGGTGTGCCGCCAACTGCTTTGTTCCTACGTCCGACCACTTTTTCATCGTCTGCGGGTGCGTCGTGCCTGCATTTTTTCCTCCCAATTTCATTGAAAATCCTCTTTTCTCGCTAGTGAAAACGATCCGCGGAGTGGATGCGGTGTTTTTTCCTTCTTGATCCAACCTGTGAAAACATCTCACGCCCCCCCCCACCCCCGCCCACGTCACCCCCAAACAGCTACAAACCACCCTCGCACCTCGTTCAAGAGCGTCTAAGGATGCCATTGTGCAGCGGCGGCCAAAGGCTTGAATGGACTGACTGGCAGCCGCATTCAGCGGCATGAAAGGCCGCCGGCCGATGGGAACGCCGAACGGGAGCATGCGATGAGTCGCCTTTGTCGCTCTCGAGGCGATGGGGTGACGTCGCTCGCACAGCTCGAAACGCCATCTTTGTTTCGCCAGCATGGGAAAATGGACTAGTGGGTGCCATAGCTGGAGGGTGCAGTACAGGGTGTGTGTGTGTGTGTGTGTGTGTGTGTGTGTGTGTGTGTGTGTGGG